GAAACTCATTCTGAATGTATCTGCAACACACATTTCAAACTCATAAATGCCACGGTATTTCAATAAGAAATTATAATAAGGAACTGATTGTGAATGTATCTGCAAAACAGTTTATACTCAAAAATTCCCATTATGAATGTATCTGCAATACACATTTTCAACTCATGAATGCCACGGTATTTCAATGAGAAATTCCAATCAGGAACTGATTATACATGTATCAGCAGAACACAGTGCATACTCAAAGACTTCGAAAAGAATTGCTATTAAGAACTGATTATAAATGTATCTGTGAAACACAGCTGATACTCATTGAGTACATGAAGAACTGTCAATAGAAACCCATCATGAATGTACCTGTCAAACACATTTCGAACTGATAAATGCTACGGTGTTCCAATGGGGAATTCCAATTAGGAACTGATGATGATTGCTATATGGGACTCATTATGAATGTATCTGCAATACACATTTCAAACTCATAAATGCCACGTTGATTCAATAAGAAATTGCAATTAGGGACTGATTTCAAATGTATCTGCAAAACAGAGTTCATACTCATAGAGTTGCTATTAGAAACTCATCATGAATGTATATGCAGAACACATTCCATTCTCATGAATGCCACAGTGTTTCAATGAGGAATTGCCATCAGAATCTGATTATGAATGTTTCTGTAAAACATAGTTCATACTCAAAGACTTCGTTGGAAATTGCTATTAGGAACCGGTCATGAATGTACATGCAGAACACATTTCAAAATCATGAATTACGATGTTTTAATAAGGAATTGCCATTTAGAACCGATTATGAATGTATCTGTGAATTACAGTTCAAACTCATCGACTCCATTGAGGTTTGCCATTAGGAACTGATTATAAATGTAACTGCAGAATACATTTCGAGCTTATAAATTACTGTTTCACTATCCAACTTGACTCTGATATATTCTCATATGTAAATAACCAGGAATTACTAGTAGGAACTGATTATGAATATATCTGCGAAAAACAGTTCATACTTATAAGAAAAAGGGAGGGAATCGCCATTAGAAACTGATTATATATGTATCTGCAAAATACATAGGATTATACGGAATTACTGTTTCACTATCCAACTTCATTCTCATTAATTCTCATATATATTTTTTTATAAGTTTCTATGAGACATTTTTGGCAGGGAACACAGTTCATTAAACACAGCTTCAGTAATTTGAGACATGTTTGGCCTGTCAATTGTATTAAATGTCAACTGTTATTTTCAAATTTTGTATCAGAATTATTCAAACAATATTCGTTCGTATCAGAATTCTTCATTAAAAATATATGCGAAATATAGACGAAAGTGAAAGTGAAATCCAAGAGAATGTTCTGGTACTTGCATATCTCCAAGAAGTGTAAAAATGAAGCATCCATCTTTGAGAAGAATTTATTTATTATGCGTGAAACAAAGAGGTTAGTAAGCAATGGACTGGACACATCTACAACCAATATCACTTATATGTGTCTTGCTGGTTGCATGCAGTTGCATGTATTATGTTCTGAATTCCCATTCCTTTTGAATTATTTTATTGGTTAGCAGAAATAGCAGGTATGTTAATGTAATTTTTGGAGTTCGTAGAAAAAGAATAGTATGTAACGCGTTTATGAACTCTTCTAGACACTCGTTCATTAAACAGTCGCTCCGCTCTGCTCCGCTCGTGCTTAAAATACTCGTTACTAAAAGGACGTTTAAACACTTGTTACATAATATACTATCGCTTTATACCCAGTAAACATTAATTCATGGGCAATCACTTTCAGAGCAATGTCGCCCCAGTGGTAAATCACAAAAGTTTCCCACTGGCCGACTGTTCGCCAATATGGGCGAAACATTCCATTTATTGCTCATTTGTTGTTGGTCCAGTGACGTATTTTCAGTACATTGCTAATGGAAATTGAACGGTTTATTCTCACACAGAGAATTTTGAGGTTATTGTAGAGTAAATATCTCACTACTCAATTATAATAATGATTATTTTTTTCGTATGATTTCAAACCAATCGAACGTTCAAATGAGTTAAGCTACCTTGTATTATAATACATAGAGTAGCTCCACCAATCAGAAATTTAGAATCATTTCCATTTCCATAGTAACTAATTCATATTGTTACATACAAACAAAGCGCGTCGTCAAACTTTAACGTTCGTTCGGACTACTGAAAAAATGATCGCATTGAATACAATTCGAACTTCAAAATATTCGAGGTTAAATATCTCAGACATCCTGCACAATAGTTATAAATCGTGTCAGTTTAACAGAATAATATTTCAACTGTTAAACTGACACTTTGTAATAATTATGCAACAACCCAGGCAACCATATTACGAATGATCACGTCACTGTGACGTCCCTAATTGGTAATTTTTCATCAGAGACGTCACACCAATTTTTGACGTCACTGTGACATAATTTCCATGACGCGAGAATCACGTCATCATCGCGACTTCGAGTGAACGTCACTTGAAAGGGTAAAATAAGACTTCAGTTTTATGACGTTGCAGGGACGTCCTATAATTACATTTTGAAACCGTTAGTTTCGTGACGTACCTATATATACAGGATGAGCATATCAGTCTCGAAAAGTTTTCAGAAAAAATCGTTTTTGCATTAATTTCACACACATATATGGAAACTTGAACATCTTGGTGATTTTATATACAGGGTGAGTCATTGAAATGGGAAAGTGAGATAACGCCTTTGCTGTTTGAGATAGATGAACAAAAATTATTGTGATGATCTAGGCTCATGAGCAGTACATTTCCAAAATATTTCGCTTTATACAGGGTGACTTAAAAATGCGTGACGTATCAAAGTTATACTTCTTCTTATGGGACACCCTGTATTTCATTGCATTTTCGGATTTTCCTTCGTGAGCTGATTTCATCAATGCATCAAACTTGGGTCTAACAAGGATGATTACAGAGATATAGGGTGTGCAAAATCGAGATATTTCAACTTTAGGATTTTTTTGGGTCGAAACTATTCATTATTGGTCAAAACGGCATGCATGTCCCCATCTTGACTTTTGATTTACTATCTACTGATATTTAATTTGAACGAATACAGGGTGATTCATAATTCTGAATTTTGAACTAATTTAAGAAAAGGAGGTCGCTCGTAGCTCAAATACACCTCACCCCCTGCACATTGAAAGGAAATCATTAAATTCCCTGTACAGGGTCATTCCGTATATTTAAACAGCATCTACAGGGTTCATCATTGAAGATAGAGAAAAACTTCGAATGCAAAAGTTGCAGGGTTTGTTCTGAACCTCCAGAAAATTATACCAGATGAAACAATTGAATATCGCTGATATAAAAAATGGGTACCAACTTCGTTATTTTCAATATATAGGGTGTTATATTTTTCGAAAAAAATCAAGATTTTTTTTTCTTGATTCCAAAAATATATTGGTCATTGATATTTGGTTCAGCTGTTTTCGAGATATTTTTGAGGTTGAACATTTCAGATTTTACCAAATCGCAACTGCCATGAAATAAAAAAACGCACTTTTATAACTGAAGGAGATGCAATTTCACAGATGTTCGATGTGACCATCGTTGTTTTTTATACATTTTTTGTAGTCTTTATCCAATTTATTTATCGAATTGCAAATGGAGTTGGAGTGATGATTGTTCAATATGTTAATACATTCCAAAATTCTTCCTCTCAAATCAGCCGAATTTCTACTTCTTTCCTTATACACTTCATCCTTCAAATAGCCCCATAGGAAGTTATCTAAAGGTGTTAAATCTGGACTGTTCGGCGACCACTCCACTGTTCTAAATTCTTTGATCCACGTTTGATAACGATCATTCAAGTGATGCCGTACGGGCATAACTTGATGAGGTGGCGCGCCATCCTGATGCCAGATCAATTCATTATACTGCCTGAGTGGGAGGTTTTTCGACAGATCTTCAATTTCATTGTTTGAAAACTGCAAATACCTATCTCCTGCTAAAGAACCCTCAAAGAAAATTGGTCCAATCACTTGGCTTTTCAAAACACAACACCCGACATTGAGGGATTCGCGACTCTGGTGCTGAATCTCTTCGTATCCATGTGGTTTATGAGTTGACCAGATATGGGTGTTTTTTCGATTATAATCACCGGAGGTGGTAAATGATGCCTCGTCAGTCCATAAAACCTCGCCAATATGATTAGATGCATCCGTAGTGGAATAAGTGGGATTTTCGAACAATAATTATATTTTTCATGAACACAAATATTTACTTCATATGTTTGTTCTACCTTGGAAATAAAGCAATATTTCCAATTCTCCATCTTCATCAGCAATGACAGTGCGTCTTTTTCTTTGAAGATTTTTTTGTTCTCTCATACTCCTCGCAGTGGAATTAAACGTACTTCTGGAAGGAACTGGCATTCCTGGATGAATGCGTTGATACTTCGCTCGAGCTTCCACTGCATTATTATTATTTTTGTAGAATAAACGAATCATTTCAAACTTTTCATCTTCACTGAAACCCATATTTCTTCCGAAATTCTATGCAATGAACATATAACAGAACGTTTTATTGATGACAACTTGCGTATGTGTTGTTTTTTCTTTATGGCAATTGCGATTTGGTGAAATCAAATTAAAACTAAATCTAAAATGTTCAACCGCGAATATCTCGAAAACGGCTGAACCAAATGTCAATGACCAATATATTTTTGGAATCAGGAAGAAAATATCTTGAATTTTTTCGAAAAATATATAGGGTGTTTCATTGAAAATAACGTAGTTGGTACCCATTTCTTATATCAGCGATATCAATTTGTTTCATCTGGTATAATTTTCTGGAGGTTCAGAACAAACCCTACAACTTTTGCACCCGAAATTTTTCTCTATCTTCAATGATCAACCCTGTAGAAGCTGTCTTAATACGGAATGATCCTGTACCTATGTAACAATCCAATTAACAATCTGTAGGTACTATAATGACGTCTCGTTACAGGTTCAAGTGTCCCAACGGGCATCCCTACATCATCACGGAATGCGGGGGAGCCATGCAGGAGTACACTTGTCCAGAGGCGGGGTGCGGAGAGAAAATCGGGGGCACGCATCATACGTTAATCGGTACTAATCAGCTGGCTTCGGAGATGGACGGGGCTAGGTTTGCCGCTTGGTCAAATATGGCGAATAATTTGGGAAATTACGATATACCGATGTAGAGAAAATTTCACCGCGTTTTATTGGATATGAGATTTGTTGATTTAATGTTTTTCTTGTGTACTTGCATGAACATGTTTATTTTATGGGATCACTAATTGTTATTTCCATCATTATTATATATCAGTGCATCAGAACGAGATGTCCTCGAACTAGTCGACCAGCTCACAATTTAACAGATACATACGATGGATAGTCAAGTATCCAACTGGACCCTGCATCGATTCGTCCCCACTTTGTAGCTAAAACGCTTGGAAGCAGGCGCACTGTCCAGTGCTCAGTCAGTATGAAAATGTAATGTTGAAGAGCCAGCTGCAAATTTTGAACGTCATCTGAGAAAAAAATGATATATGTCCCAAAGGCAAGTTTAAACATTGTAGATCATCGATCGGCACCTGTGTCAATCGCTATCCTGAGAAAAATGATTGAATCATTGCACTTTCCACTGCGGGAATTCGCACTTTATTTCGCGATTTGATAATGAGAAAAGAAGTATGCTATCCGATCGTAGATCTCAAAAACCTACTCGTGCCACACCTCAGCCTGAGCCAAATCCACTGCACAGCGATTCATTTTCTGCTATTATATCAGACATACTACCGTCATGTCATAACGAGTTGAAACAAAAAGGAAATGTTCCCCTTGCGAATATCCAAACGTGCTGCGATTAGACCTGATCTAGATTAGTGACAGAGCGTCAATATTTCCAAGAATATTTCCCCCTCGTCGACAGATAATATTTGATGAACCAGTGTAAAACTCATGTGGTGCTAACACTACAAGTATTCTGATCTACATGTTGAGTTTCACACCGGTCCATCGGATATTATCTTTAGAGAGGAGCGAAATATTTTCGGAAATATTGACGCTCGCTCTGTCACTAACTTAGATCAGTTTTGAATAGCAGCATGTTTGGATATTCGCAAGAGAAACAGTATTCCCCTTTATTTTCTTCTTGTTTCAACTCGTTATCACAAGACGGAAGTTTGTCCGGAATTATGGCAGCAAATAAATCACTTTGCCGTGGATTTGACTCACTTTGAGGGGTGGTTGGTATCGGATGGCATGATTCTTATCTCGTTATCAAAATCGCGAAATTTAGTGCAAATCAGCGTACAAGGAATTGCAAATTTTCATTCATTTTGCTCAGGGCAGATGCCGTTCGATGAAATACAATGATTTTTACATGCCTTTGGGCAGTATATACCATTTCGTTATAAGATGATGGTCGAAATTTGCAGTCGGTTCTTGGACTTGGCCAGTTGATGTGAATGACAGTCGCTGAAATTCATAGACAGAGTCGACAGAAGTCGCCGAGCGCCTTTTATTTTGGTGATTTAGCGACATTCTCGATGATCTATTTTCGGTTTTATGCCATTTTCTTTCTCGTCACAGAATCACATGATCAAAATATCTTGAAAGAATTAATTTAACAATGAGAACACTAGATTTCTGTTATGTTGCATCATCTTCATGGGAAAAAGAGCTTTAAATAATGTGAAAAACGATCAAATTCCGACACGTCGCAATTCGAGTTCAAATATTGCATTGTCCTACTATGAAAACGTCAGATCTGGAAACAAAATTGCTGAGAGGTCAACACTGCACGTGAATTGGTGATCGAGCCAAACAGAGGGATAACAGTGGTACAGTTGAATAGTTGATCATCCATCACGTATATCTGTTGAACTTTATTGTGCTGTCAACTGGTTGGAGGAAAATAGTTCAAATGCATCGCAGATTGTTAATTTTATGCCAAAAATTTTACCTACTAATGTATGAACCGTTCTGGTAATGTGCCTGAAAGTTGTTGTTTGAAATGTTGTAATATATCATTTGCGTTCAGAACGTACCGTTATTTATCCTACTTTCGTATGTAATACAACAAATGTATTGATGATTTTCCAAATATAAATCCCTTCGATTCTGAGAACCAAATTATGTGTGTGGTTACCAAAGAGCAGTTTCGAAAAAGAATAGGGATTTTCGATAATCATTAATTTAACGAGTTTTCATTTGCAATCGATTGTTGACAAGCAACTATAGTTACAGGACGCACGCGTCTTCGTCATTGACCGGAATCGCTCGCAAAATTCGATGCGTTCAGTCTCTAGACGCTACTGTCAAGTTATGAGAGGTTAGGTTTACATAAAAAATGTTTGTTTGAAATGCCGATCGTACTAAAATTCTCCGTTACAAATTGAATTTCAGTGCCTATCACCATTTTGTATGAACTTTATTATAGTGGTGAGTGCTATTTTATCCCTTAATATGAAAATATCATGACATCCATGTCCATGACAGCTTGCTACATGTAAGTATTTTATATGTCCATGTTGGTTATCCAGTAGCCACTCAACAGCCGAAATACAAAAACGAACACATTATGTTTTCTGTTATCAACACAGATATATCAACTAAAGAAATTTAATTTCGACACCTGAGGCATACCCCAATCAGCAAAATGTTATCCATGGGACATCCTATTGTAATGTTATAGTAGAGTATAATCTCTGTATAATCTGATGTTGCTATAGGAATGAGTATCATTAGAATTAATTGTATAATAAATATTCAAGATCTGTATCTCTCTATCAGAATATTTCTGAATAGTATTACAAATGGCGCAGTCGGGTGAAAATTTGAATCCTACGTTTGCTAGAGTGGATTATGATCAAATACAAGGATCCGGAGATGAGCAAAGCAAAATAGTTTTTGGAAAATTCGAATTGGATCATCTAATGTCAAAATGGATGTCAGCTTTATCTAAGAAAACTGAACCAAATCTCCCACAGTTCAAAGGTCTCGATGAAAACCCAAATACATGGTTGAACAATTATGAATATCTATGTATTTCCAATCAGTGGAACTCGGATGCTGACAAAATATTCAATTTAAGAAGCTATCTGACCGGAACTTCATTGCATTGGTATGAGGACAGAATTCGGACCAGAAATATGAACCAATTCACCTGGAATGACTGGAAATCATGTTTCATCAAAACATTTGATGAAAACGTTTTGATATAATGGGAAAAAGCACTATTTTATAAATTTTACCAGGGAAGTACGCTAGAATACTTCTATGAAAAGCAAAGACTATTGTATTGGGCTGACGAAAATTTATGTGAAAAATCTATAATTTCTTTGATTATACTGGGTTTACCTTCACACATCCAAAATCAGATAAATGGTAGATTGATAAATTCCAAAGAAGAGCTCTTACACACATTGAAATCCCTGAAAACGTTCAATAGAGCATCCAATAACCATCAGTTTAGACCAGGAGTGATCAAAAATAGTCAAGTTGGCATGGAAGTAGAGCAGAGTAATGGAATAGTGGAGAAGAGACAAGAAAGAAGAAATGAAACAAATAATTATTATAAAGATAGACAGCCAGTGAATAATAATTTCTATAGTTCTGTTCTTTGGAAGACGAAATAGAATATGTTGAAATGTATATGAATTATTCTACATATGGAGATAATGAAAATCGAAATGTAAACTTGTGAAGGTCAATGATGATATGGTCAAGGTCTTACTTGATACTGGATCCGATATAGATTTAGTTAATGAAGACTTAGTCATCAGAAATCAATTTCCCATGCATAAAACCAATATTTGTATCAGGAGTTTAGCTGGGATGACAAAATGTTTACATAAATCTGAGATGACTATTGAAATCAATGGTAAGACTATAACGATCATGCCTGCTGTAGTGAAAGATTTGTGTTTTGGAATTATAATTGGACAAAACAGTTTGAATAAATTAAATATTTTCCAAATGAATGTGAACTCAAAATCAACCCAAATTGACTTTGAGGAGACAAGTTTTATAAAAATGTTCCCAAATTTACTAAATCATGTGGATAAAAAACCTTCAGTACATGAAATTGATTTCAAGTTAAAACCAAACCCAAATATAATAAGATTGAAACCGTATCGATATCCACCAAATAAAAGGTTATGGATAACTGATAAAATCAGCGAATTACTTGAAAAGGACATCATCAGGAAGTCAACATCACCTTATGCATCCCCGTGTGTTTTAAAAACTAAAAGTGATGGTAATTTTCGTCTATGCATCGACTACAGGAAGATAAACGATGAAACTGAATTAGATCCATTTCCCTTTCCCATTGCAGATGATATAATAGAGAAATTTGGTGGATGCAAGTATTTCACCAAATTAGATTTAAAAGATGGTTTCTGGAACATAAGCATTTCAGAATATACACGAAAATTCACATCATTTGTGACACAAGAAAGACACTATGAGTTCAACCGCCTCCCATTTGGTTGGAAGAATTCAAGTGCAAAATTCCAACGTATTATGCAAGAAATTCTTCAAGACCTCCTATCTGAAAAAGTTATAGTTTTCATAGATGATATAATGTGTGGTAGATACACTTATGATGAATGCAGTATGTTAACTAAAGAAATTTTAAGACGATTAGATAACAACAACATGAAAATTAATCTGAAGAAATGTGAATTCTGTGTATCCAAAGTTATATTTCTTGGCAGAGAAATTGACGGTGATACGAAAAAATTGAAATCTGAGATTGTTGAAAAAGTGAAATCAATGAAAAGACCCAAGGACTTGAAATCGATACAATGCTTCACTGGACTAACCAACCACTTTCGGAGTTTTATAAAAAATTATGGACACATATTGTGAGGCCTTTAGATGAACTGAAACAGAAAAACAAAAAATTCGTTTGGACTGATGAATGTGAGAAATCCTTCAAAACTTTGATCAATCTCATCACCTCGAAACCTATTCTGAGGATCCCAGACCCACGTTTGAAGTTTGAACTCTCTACAGATGCCTCATACTATGGTTGTGGTGCGGTACTTTATCAACGAGATACTGAGGAGATCAAAAGTAGACAGCTTAGAGTAGTTTCTTATTATTCATATACTTTTTCGAAAAGTGAACAAAATTACTCTGTAACTGAAAAAGAGTGCCTGGCTGTGGTAAAAGCAGTTAAATACTTATCGGACTTATTTAGAAGGAAAACGATTCATTGTGCATACCGATCATCAAGCTTTAAAGTATGTTTTAACATCAGGAACTCTTAAAGATAGACTAGCTAGATGGCAAATTTTCTTAACTGCTTTTGACATGGAAATAAATCATAAATCAGGAAAAGAAATGAAAGATGCTGATGCTATTTCTCGGTTATGTATTGATATTCCTGACGATGTCAATGATCTTTTCTGGTGTCATTTGAATATCCAAAATTTAGAGTTAATGGATGATGGACCATATTCAGTCAAAACCAATGATCTGAAAAAAGAGATTTTAGAATCCTATCATGACGACTGTGATTCTGGTGGTCATGATGGATATTATAAAACGTATTATAAAATTAGTAAGAGATTTCATTGGAAAGGGATGAGTAAAGACATTAAAAATTATATTCATACATGTGACATTTGCCAACGAGTAAAGTTCAAGTACTTACCAAAACCTGATTTTGTTCACTTAACTTCTACTTCCCAGACTCCATATGAGACAATACATGTTGATTTTGCCGAACTCTCCAAGAAATCAGATGTGAAGAAATCTACCAGATCATTTATAGTTGTTATTGACGAATGTACTCGACATATTTCTGCGAAGGCTATGAAGGAAAGTGGAATAGCCTTGAAAAATTACTTCAGTCAATTCCCATTCAAGGATAAAATAAAAAACATTGTAACGGATCGTGGAGCAGCATTTACATCGGGTGTCTTCCATGACTGGGCTACAACGGAAGGAATAAAATTGATTCATACAACCCCCTACCATCCTGCTGGTAATGGGCTAGCTGAAAGAGCTGTGCGAAACCTGAAGACATATATGAGGTGCTACGAAGATTTCAAAGGTGGATGGAAGAAGTGTCTTGAGGCGGCAGTTCGACACCACAATTATTCGCATACCGAATATTTGGGATGCTCTCCAAATTTTAGACTTTATGAGAAAAATATAATCTTACATGCAGATAAGAAATATGGAATAGATTGCAGTGAAAATGAATCAATTAAAAATCCTGAAGAACAATTAAAATATAAACGGAGAATACAGGAACAAGCTAATAAAACCCGTAAAACCAAACCACCAATGTTGAGGGTTGGCGACTGGATTTTGACAAGGAATCGACAAACTGGAAAGAACTGTGTCATCAGAGGTCCATTCCAGTCAAATATATCGATGGGGTTTTATCATATGTTCATTTCCAAAATGGCTTGAAGGAAGAAACAGCGAATATCTCGAATATAAGACCATTTTATCACAGGAGTGATAATTTTTTTGGAGAGGGAGAATTGTAATGTTATAGTAGAGTATAATCTCTGTATAATCTGATGTTGCTATAGGAATGAGTATCATTAGAATTAATTGTATAATAAATATTCAAGATCTGTATCTCTCTATCAGAATATTTCTGAATAGTATTACACCTATAGTTATAGGTTGTGGGTATTCCTAATAACCATGGGATATCCTGAAATCTGCCAGGGATAGCCTATGGATATCCAGATGGCACAATTTCCTGTAACCCCAGGACATCCCAGGACAAACTTGTTGAATGACCATATATTATCATCAGGATATATTCAGGATATCCTGAACTGAACCAATGCCAATACTATGGATGGTAAATGGTACAATTCATTTTTACCTCATGACATCAATCATTAAGTGTTGAATATCAATTAATCATTCTCATTCAATCTATGTCTTCAATAATTTGAAACAAAAAACTGACTCAATGAAAACATCTATTGAAGTTGTACTTAGGTCAAATTTAAAAAAATCAGATCCAAATTGCATCATTCATCAGCCTGTACTGCCACTCATCTTCAGTGATTTT